TATTAGGTGACACAAGCTACCTGAGCTGGGAGGCGCTTCATGCTTAAGTTACAAAGTAAAGGTAAAGGTTCCCTTGCTCGAAAGCCAGTCGAGTCCGACTCTAGGGTTGCGGCGCTCATTTCCATTTCCAAGCCGAAGAGCCAGCGCTGTCCGAAGACGTTTCCGTAGTCATGTGGCCGGCATGACTAAACACCAAGGCGCAGGGAACGCTGTTACCTTCCCACCTAAGTGGTACCTATTTATCGACTTGCAATTTCTTGCTTTCGAACTGCTAGGTTGGCAGGAGCTGGAACTAGAGACGGGAGCTCACTCCGTCATGCGGCACCCGGGTCTCGAACTGCTGAACTACCGACCTTCCACAGCCTGCAGTTCAGCGTCTTAACCACTTGAGCCACCGCAGCTCCAAAGTACATGCTTCTCAATTGCAGTCTTAGAAACAGTGCTGAGACAAGCCCTAACACTTCACTGGTTTTTACAGGAAGAGCATCCAGATTCCAAACCCTTTCTGTCCAAATAATTCTCTAAAGCCCCTTTTGGGACTCCCTGTCTGTTCAGGACACCCTCCTGTTCCCTCTCCCTCCCAAAACCCACTCTTTTCCCCCAGTTGGTGGTTGGCTTTTAAACTGGCTCAAGGTTCTTTCCCCCTCCCCGCCAACATTCCATTCAGCCTTTAAAATTTGACTGGCCGAGTTGAATGGGGAAGGATTTTCCTCACTCCTAGGAGGAGGTGTGGAGGGCAAGGAAGAGAGAAAGCAAAAACATAACCACGTTCAAGCCATGAAGGCACAGGACCGGCTTTAGCAACACCTTCTGTAAACAAGACAAGGAGCCGTCTTGTAGCAGAGAAACGGCTCATGAGAAGGATTAGATAAATCCCACCTTTAGCGAATACAGTCTACGTAACTGAGTTGAATCCAGCAGAGTATTTCTACAGATGGTGTTTACAGATTCCCCCTTCCTGCAGCACACTTTGTGCTGTTCTTGGGGCCACGGTGGGGATGGGGGTGGGCGAGGAAGTAATATTTTGCTTAAATAAACCATTATATCAGTGGAAACGTCCTTTGGTGTTAACAGGTGCCAGCGGACAGGACAATGAACTTTCAGTGTTAATAAAAGAGGACCACCATTTTCTATATGCACTCATGAGCTTTCAATTCTAAGCATACAATGGCTACTTTCCTTCACTAATTTCCTTCCAGCTGCCCATTTCCCCCCCAGGATGGAGCCAATTTGTGCCAACACAGTTACGAGCAAGTACACAATAGTCAGTACAAGCTGCTCTTGCAATATAGCCCATCTTTGCAGACATGCTAGCAAAACACACCGCCTCCTAGACAAAAGCACTTAGGCCCCGGTGACACGGGCCAGATAACGTGGGGGGAGGCATGGCTGTTTGCCCCGGAGCAAAATAAAGTGCGGTAGCCCGATCACACGGTCACCCGAGTCTTCGCGCTTAGGCTGTTAGCTGGCGATCACACGGTGATGCTGGAGCGTGGCAAAGAAGCGGCGTGGTAAGCTGTACTGTAATGCTCTCTACATGGGGCTGCCCTTGGGGCAACTCCGGAAGCTGCAGTTGGTGCAGAATGCGGCGGCCAGGCTCTTGATGGGTCTCCCCAGGTGGGAGCACATCCAGCCAGTGCTTAAGACTCTGCACTGGCTGCCAATAGCATTCCAGATTCGCTTCAAGGTGCTGGTTTTGACCTTTAAATCCCTTCATGGCCAGGGACCGGTCTACCTGAGGGACCGCCTTTCCCCGTATGTTCCCCAGAGAGCACTGCAGTGTGGGGTCACAAAACCGCCTGGCCCTCCCTGGCCCTAAGGAAGTCAGGTTGATGGTAACCAGGACGAGGGCTTTTTCATTTGTAGCTCCATCCTACTGGAACGAGCTTCCTGCCGAGATTAGGGCCCTGCGGGACTTGTCACAGTTCCGCAGGGCCGCGAAAACAGAACTTTTGAGGCAGGCATTCCAATAGGAGAAATGTCTTACCAGCAGCGCCGTGTGAACTCTGATCCAGTACGACCTAACGAGGGGGTACCGCTGAATGTGTCCTTAAACTGCACTTTAGTTTTATCGCCATCTAATGAATGTTTTATATTGATTGGTTGTGTTTTAACTGATGCCTTGTATTTATATTTTATTGTGTATGTATACTGCTTGTCAGTTTTGGAAGCCGCTCTGAGCCTGCCTGGCGGGGAGGGCGGGGTAAAAGTGAAATAAATAAATAAGCGTTTCGCATTTGTGCGCATGTGCTGTTCCGCAGAGCAGCACTGCTTTCAGTTACGTGTTCGTGCGTTGGATGCCACGGGATACTAGCGCTCCCGCGATCAGACGCCCGCCCCTGCCCCGCATTTTTAGGATACTAGTGCACTTTCCGAGGTACTTTTTTACTGCGCATCTTCAGCGTGACGCCACAGGTTGGCCACGGGTGCTCTATGCTTCCCAGATGTTGCGGTGTGATCGCGCCCCGAAAATCCACCTGACATTCGTGCCTTTAGTGCGGCAAATCCTCCGTGTGAATGGGGCCTTAATTCAGCATCAATGCACTCACTTAACACAATTAGAAAAGTGTTTTTAAAAGATGCTGTTTGATGGCAATTGTAACTGTTACCTGTTTCTTATTACTAGGAGAAATGTGTTAGCGGATGGCTTTAACTTCTTGCAGCCACCTCAAGTGAATTTTGAGGAAGGGCGGGCAGAAGAGCTGGGATTTTAAAAAATCATTCTTCTAAGGAAGAATACAGCTATGCAGAGAACATCCTGGATAAGGGTGGGCACGAACCTCATCACAAACCTAAATGCATCACGAAACTCGCCCAGGTCGTGATTCAGGAGCTGAGGGGACCTGCAACGAACTTCGATGGAGCAGAATGATATATACTCCCAAGCCCACACGCAGCAGTCGGCAGCAGGCACGCCACACACTGGAGGCAGAGAGGGAACTGATTGTCAAAGCAACAAGAGGGATGTACTTCTGCAACCCTAGGAAACACCAATTCTTGGCCTCCAATGCTCAACAGGCAGTGCTGGCAGCCAATAAGAGAGCACGGATTCTGCTCTATAAAAGCAGAATGATATACACCCCCAGCTCATACACCATTGTTTTCTATTGGCATCATGAACCTTACAAAAGAGACAGGTTTGGTAAACGGGAAGGTCCATGTGGCCCCACGAACCATGAACTGAAAACGAACCTCCATTTTCCCAGTTCATGCCCATCCCTAATCCTGGATAGGATTACTGATTGTTAAGCCTAGACACCAGATTGTATAGTTGCTGGTGTTTTTCCTTCTCAAAACCTCCTGAAAGCACAAGTCAACCCACTCCCTCTGTAAAAAATTTAACACTTTAGCTTTTGCAACTGTGCTGAGATCATTTCCAAGTTCCAGGATTTTGGGCATCAGTAATGTAGTTGGGCTCTCCCATCCCCTGATCGCTTTGAGTGGGGATTTAGTGACATTTTACAACTGAGATGGTGGCGTTAAACCACCAGAGTGATAGCGCCACCATCTTCTGCAGTAGGAACACACAGGATGCGAAGGGGCGCACGTAGTAGGACACCACTGAAAAAGATGGTCGCCCAGCTGCAACTGTTCCGGCACTTTTAGTGCTACATCTTCTGTATTCCTTTCACTACCACAAAATTTGCATCCACACATCTAATTGCTTATTTTTTCATTTTGTCCTTCATTGACATGGTACTAATTTTTGTACGTTTCATGGGTTGTGCAATTTTTTCTTGGGATTATGAATTTAAATACAATACAGTACCAATACAAACAGTGGTAAATGACGCAATGACCAAAAGAAAAGTATGCCAAGGAAACTAGGATTGTACAAGGTTAGATTGTACAAAAATCAGCAAGGTTTATAAGACGTAATCAACTGAAAGAGAAGTCTTCTAGGTGTATTGTGTCTGAGGCATGTGCGTAAGAGTAGGTGCTATAGAGCTAGGGATATGGAGAATCAACCCGGTAATGTGAAATTCAGTGAGGAATAAGAGAGTAACTTGTTGCCTAAGTAGTGTAGGATTTTATAGCTCTCAGGATTTACCTGCATAGTCTTATTACAGAAGTTTCTGCTCTCTACTCTGGAGTCCAGTGACTGAGAAGTGGAAATCTAAGGCTGTGATCACACGCGCCTTTAGATCTGATATAGGTGCGAATGCCTGATGGACCTAAAGGGAGCGATCAGACAGCAACATCTGGGAAATGTCCCGCAGTCGTTGCCAACCCGTACTGCTCCGCTATGGAAGCGTAGTTAAAAGACACCAGGGAAAGTCCGGTAGTAAACAGGTTCCAATGGGCCACGGACAGCCTTTCCCCTGTCTGATCGCTCAGGGCATGCTCTCAAGCCGTCAGGATGGTCTGATCAGTATGTGCATCATTACATACTCCACAGGGGGCCCTCAGTGCGGAGTTGCGATTCCTCGTTTATGTGCATAGGAAATGGCCAACCCCCCCCCCGACTCACCCGCAGTTGCGTCTGATCACACAGTCACAGGCTGCGCCCGCAGCTACAAAGGGAGGCGTGATCTTGCAACTGCGTCTCAAATTCCTCTGGAGGGAATTTGCTTCCCCTTCGCTTCAACTGCTGCGTGTGACCGCAGCCTAAGTAGATGGTAACAGGAGCAATGCCCAGCAATCATACAGACGCAGACATCTCATGGGCAACTTACAAGTTAGTTACACAAAGGATTCAAAATAAATGATAGTTGGGGAATACAGAGATGCTAAGAGCACTATGAAAATTCTGTCTCATTAACAAAACTTTTCTTAAGTTGATAAACTAGGTACATGTCCTAAATTTGAGGAGGGATGAACTGCTATTAGAAGCCTAAGATAAATGCAACTCTTGCTGTAAAACCCACATTTGATTCCCTTCACTTACTGCATCAAACAAAATTAAAACTGGTAATTTGCGCTGTTTACGAAGAGACACTGAAAAAAGTGAAGACTTAAAAAAAATTTATTTGTACAATACATGTTAGCAGAAAGCACAAGTCAAATAAGAATGGTCAAAGGATACATTTCCTAGAAGCTGTTAAAAGAACATTAAATACTTGTAGAGTCCACAAATTTCCTTTTTTTGCACAAGAGACATCCACTTGTCCGGCAGAACAAGCAGCAAGTCAGGGTTTTAAACAAGGAGCAGTGTGCTCCCTACAAGGCACCAGCATGTCATAATTGGTCAAACGTATTCCTTGCACACGGCCCATTTCATTCGCCCCCCTTTTCTACCTTCAAGTCACAAAGAGGCTGCTAGCGGAATTAAAGGCACTCAATCCCAGTGCTGCCCAGGGAACATCTGTACAAAAACAATGCAATACTGCAGAATTGTTGCTGGGCCGTCAACAGACATCCTTGGTCAAAGACGTGGAATGAGCTAATGCGGAAGGCAACTCGTACATTCCCAGTTTGAGATTTCTCGGCATTACCTTATTCCATCAAGGTATCAGTTAGTGAAAGCTACCTTTGCCTGCAGAGAACAGAAGCCAGGGGCTCCTTTCTTGCTGTTTAGCCATTATGTATTAGTGTTAGTTGACCTGTAGTTTTCTGGAGATGAATCGCTTGACATACCCTATGAGGACAGCAGCTCGCAAACAGGTTTTCAGCCAAGCTTCACAGTATATCAATTCTCCCTAAACACGTCAAGGGGTTTCCCATTACCTGGCAGCATATACAATGCATTAACAGTATTCAATAAAATGCCTCCGTTAAAAAAACAGGTACCCACAGTTAACACTGTTTGCTCTTCAAGTGTGGGATGGTTCACATTAAAGCTGAAAGCTTCCCTCATAATACCGTCTAGATTAAAAAAAACTTGATATTGCACTGTTATATTATACTCCAGCTGTCAATTCTCATTCCAGAGACTTATAAAACTGTAAAAAAGTAAACTTAGCCATTTTGTGCAGTCTTCAGCATTGCACCCAAGTAGCTGGAATTTGCAAAACCTTCATTACAACTACAGTAGCCTAAGCACAGTGGAATTTCTGCCCAGCTGCCTTCCTTATACAGTACAAACACTGATTGGTCCCATCTTCCGCCTTCACCCTTTGAGTTTCCTCTTCTGGTCAAAGTAGGCATCAAATCGTGAGAGTGCATAGTCCTAAGTGAGATAAAAAGGCACAGTTGGAATTACCAAGCCAGTTTGAAGCGGCCCCAATTTCAGTACACTTAAATAGAACTACACAAACACACGTTTCAGCAATAAAGTCTTAGAGAGATCATTACCAATTGTCTTAGCTTGATCTGTGGTCTACTTATTTCATCTGCTTTGCTACTAAACCAAAGCAACGTTAGAAAGTCAGAAACCACTTTTGAATGCAGCTGTATTACATATATTAAGTCTTATTCAATACCAAATGCGGGAGAATAAGTTCTATATCCCACTTGAAGTCAAATAAGGTACCATTAACTAAAATACACTACTCTGATACAGTTGAAACCAAGCATCTGACAACTGGTGCTACAGCATAAATTTAAAACTGCTGGATTGGTTACCTAGAGCCAAGAATTCAACCAGACCCCTGCTTCCTTCATACCACCCACACAATTAATGCCAAAAGCCGCATGTGATCATTCTCACTTCAGTCTCCCCTCTCCCATCAGGAAGTCACAGACTGACCAAGATGCTCTTGCAATGATACAGGGTTTTGGAAGTAATCTACTTCCCCATAGGATGGGTGCCTCAAGGAGTAAGAACACCTTTTATCTCGGAACACCTTTGATCCCCAATAGTGCAGAATTTAAACGAACTGGGAATTCCTTCCATTTAAGATAATTTCTAATTTCTCTCTTTCTGGGTTTTGTGCAACCATTTTAGTGCTTCTTGAATCTAAGGTACAGCCACATGTCTATATGTACTCAAGAGCCCGAAGCAGTTGTATGGTTCTGTGGCCCATGCTTTGGTCCATAAATACGTTTTTAGCTATAGCTTTACCTATGCTAGTAGACAAATATAATTATTCTGAAGTGAATTTGTAGACTATGGGAATTAAGCATTTCTTGGTGAATGGGAAGTCATCATGTCACTTAAAATTGGCACAAATCACACCCAAATTGAATGATTAGCCACCCACGTGTTGTCTTTTAATTAACAGATATTTGAGTAACTGTACTAATGATAATGCACACCTCTTTTAGATGTCAAGATCTGTAACCGTGACACATACCATAAACTTAAGTATGGGTTGACTGACGACGCAAGCAGTCACTGCACAAATAAAGACAGGCCGTGGAGAGGATGAAATTGGGACAAGAGAAATCCTATTTGGGCTCTTTTTGTAGCAGGAACTCCTCTGCATATTAGGCGACAAACCCCTAATGTAGCCAATCCTCCAAGAGCTTACAGTCGACCCTGTGAGAAGAGCTCTGTAAGCGCTTGGAGGATTGGCTACATTAGGGTGTGTTCCAGGGCTCTTTTTGTAGCAGGAACTCCTTTGCATATTAGGCGACACCCCCCCTAATGTAGCCAATCCTCCAAGAGCTTACAGTAGCCCCTGTGAGAAGAGTTCTGTAAGCGCTTGGAGGATTGGCTACATTAGGGTGTCGCAGGGCTCTTTTTGTAGCAGGAACTCCTTTGCATATTAGGCGGCACACCCCCTAATGTAGCCAATCCTCCAAGAGCTTACAGTAGCCCCTGTGAGAAGAGCTCTGTAAGCGCTTGGAGGATTGGCTACATTAGGGGTGTGTCGCCTAATATGCAAAGGAGTTCCTGCTACAAAAAGAGCCCGGGACATAGTATTTCCCCCTCTTAAACATGCTAATGGTTAAATCGGGGTCCCCAACGTGATGCCTGTGGGAGCCAGGGTGCCCACCAACACCTTTCAGGGCCATTCTCAGATGGTTTGGACGTGAGTGGGGCCAGACGGGGCTTTTGCGCAGCAGGGCTTCTGACTGGCTGTGCAGATTTTTAAGAAATCGCTTTGGGAGCAGCTTGCCACCACAGCACGAGAGTCTTCACTGCAAGAGGACATTTTTAAACAGTATGTTCATTTTAAAAGGCATCCTATTCAACGTAATCTTCAACGTTTCGGGAAGAAGCTAACTATTAGAGTTCATGCATGACATCACAACTTGGCATTTTGCATTCGACTCCCCCTCTTGCGGCAGCCATTTTGTCACGGCGCCCACCACCCAGTGTCAAAATGACAAAGGTGGCTACAGACTCAAAAAGGTTTAAACGAAGACCACTGGTTTAAAGCAAGTGCTAAAATAGTGTTACCATGACATACCATGTATCCAAACTCAATAGATGATATCTTTGCCTGTATAATGGACCACAGACCCCATAAGAAATGAGATGCAAGGGCGAACCTGTCAACAGAAACAATGTAATATTTCAGTATCTAATGTAAACTTAGTTCTTGCATAGCTTGGCCAGGTTGATTTTTTTTTTTTACTGTACCTATCTTGTTCAAGTTGTGAATTTCAAAATGCACGTTTTACTTTCATGCATACCCAGGTCAGGATATGCAAAAAAGAAAAAAAAGGTCCGGTATGCGATGCGTCAGTGCTAGGAGGCCAGCACAGCACAGCACAGCACATGTTTTACTTTCATGCATACCCAGGTCAGGATATGCAAAAAAAAGTCCGGTATGCGATGCATCAGTGCTAGGAGGCCAGCACAGATCATCCCAAGGCAAGGATCAAATAGCAAACCCAATCAGAACAAATATTCACAGCTGTATCTCTGCTGTTCCTACTTTCTTAGCCATATAAGAACATAAGAGAAGCCAATGTTGGATCAGGCCAACGGCCCATCCGGTCCCACACTCTGTCACACAGTGGCCAAAAAGACCAGGTGCCATCAGGAGGTCCAACAGTGGGGCCAGGACACCAGGAGCCCTCCCGCTATTGCCCCCCCCAAGCACCAAAAATACAGAGCATCACTTGCCCCGGAGTCCTTATCTATACCTTGTGGCTAATAGGATGTAGGATTTAATATAGAAAGTAGTTTTGACATTGTGCTGGAAATGAACAGCTTAGTTGAGGTTAGATTATATTAGAGATTCTTAAACTTCAGCAACCTGATGGCCCCCATTTTGATTCCCCCCCCAGCCCTCACGTACCCCCCCCCCTTCTGCTGTTACCTCACATGCCCGAGACAGCCTCTTTTCATAGTGTGGGCGGCATGTTAACATGATGGGTTGGATCCTGCAATCCATAATTACAAGGATGGTGTTTGTTGCCATCTTCCTTCCCCCCTTCCCCCCCACAGAAGTCACAGAACCCACATGGACTAATAATCATGTAGATTAGGAGGCTGTTTGGGCAACGGAAGGGAACATAATCAGATAGAGTGGCAGAAAGGGTGGTTTTTGTCTTCTTTCCCCCTCTCATGGCAGCCTCTGGATCTAGATTATGATTAGCCTACATGGGTCCCACAGACTCAGGAATAAACTTTCTTGGGATAGGAAACAGATACTGGGGGAGGGGAATGAGGGACAGACCCACACAACCGACAACACCCTCCAGTGGCATATGGTGAGATCCAACCCAGCCTACATAGATTCTGCCCTCTCCCATCCATTGGCTATTGTCTAGGGATGCAAAGTGCTTTGTCCATTTCTATGCTGAAATTCTTTACACTTGAAAACAGAATGGAAACAAGTTCAGTTTTATACCTGAAGTAACTATGGCAACTGCATTAGGGCTGTATGTACTTGATGCCGCTGAACTATTTTTGAATTCCTAGGGGTGAGCTGCTGGTTTCCAATGAGCAATCCGCCCATTTTGTGGCAAACCTTCAAGGTGATCTGGAAAGCCAGATGACGGAGGGCCCACAGCATTCTTTATGAGCTCCAACCATTTAGAAAAAAGAGCAAGCTGCCCCCCCACCCCCCACTGCGTCCCTTCCTGGAGAACCACAAGGGCTCGGTTTTTGTGCCAGCTAAATGGGACAAAGAAGGACACACTCCATGTTTACAGGGGACTCCTGGACCACTTTGAGAAATGCTAGGCTCTACTAAACACTACTGATACCTGTTTCGGAAAGGCCTAACTCACATCTTGATATCCATCGGAACTGTATTCAGAATGAAAAGAGGTTACCTGTTGACTTCGATCAACATTTCATCCTCTACTTTGGACTTGTCTTCGTTGCTCAGGTTTTCAAACCCGTTTTGCGACGCAGCCAGGTAACTGGAGATGAAGTGGAGCTAAACGACAAGACAGTAGTCAGCATGGCAACTTAGCCTGCCCCAAGTAATTTATTACTATAATTCTTGAACAATTTCAGTGCCCGTACACAAGTCAGCTTTCACAATAGTAATTCAATGGAACAATGTTCAGAGTCCAAAACTCTAGTAAGGGCAACTTTGTCTGAGGCCAGCCAAGATTCCCTAAGCTGGGTCAAAAGATACAATTCAGTATTTCGATAGGAATACAAGAATTATCACCCAGGCCATGTGCAAAGTGGAAGTTCCTGCTAATAAAATATGCTTTTTGAACAATCAAGGTGCCCACAGCACCCTACACCCTAAGCACAAGCTAAAGTTCAGAAAACTTATTTCACACTTTAGAACAACTCTGAAGTAACTTCTAGGGTGTTGATAAGGTAGGTTCCCTTGCTCGAAAGCCAATCGAATCCGACTCTAGGGTTGCGGTGCTCATCTCCGTTTCAAAGCCGAAGAGCCAGCGCAGTCCAAAGACATTTCCGTGGTCATGTGGCTGGCATGACTAAACACCAAGGTGCACAGAACGCTGCTACCTTCCCACTGAAGTGGTACCTATTTATCTACTTGCAATTTCTTGCTTTCGAACTGCTAGGTTGGCAGGAGCTGGAACTAGAGACGGGAGCTCACTCGTACATGCGGCACACTTGGGTCTCGAACTGCTGAACTACCGACCTTCCACAGCCTGCAGTTCAGCATCTTAACCACTTGAGCCACCGCAGCTCCTAGGGTGTTGATAGGGGCTCATAATAGGACAGTGACCAATATTTTAAAGACTGCAAATAGCCAATAGATTCTAAAGTGGCAGTTCTCAAAACAGTTGTACTTCATTACTTACCTGCTGCTTCTTTGTGGGATACTTCAGGAAGTTTGCCTTGAAGAATGGATATTTTTCATACACGTAGTCATACATCCATTCACAGAAGTGATTCCCAATGTCAAACCCCCTATAGTGAGAACGTTCAATACTTAAGAATGAACAAGCTTACAAACATTTCTTTAACCTTACATTAAAGTACCATGGCTACTAGTGTTGTAATCTCTTCCCCCAGAAATTAGGGCTAGAAATATAGGTATAAGAAGAAGAGATTGGATTTATACCCCATGGCCCTTCACTACCCGAAGGTGCCTCAGAGTGGCTTACAAACTCCTTTCCCTTCCCCTCCCCACCAGAGACACCCTGTTATCAGATAAGAAGGTATCCGATAACTAGTCAGATGATTGGTGCTACCAATCACCTATTCTCCCTGACACCAGGTATTAAGAAATCTTTTCACTGGAGATACCAGCAACTGGACTGATAACTATATATATGTAAAGCGCGTTTATCTATCACTGAGCTACAGCTCAACAGCATAATGATGTGACTTGAATCAAACCAAGGCCATTAATCCAATGCTTGACTTGTAGGAGCTCTCTAAAGTCTACCTCTCCCAGCCCTGCTATAGGAAATCCACTTTAAAAAGTCTCGCTGGGTGTGCAAAATAACCTTCCTCATTGAGGTTGTTGTATGGACAGCATCATGTTTCAGTCTTGTCACTCTACATGTGCAGTGTTTGCACACCAGGTATCTGTGGCCTGGATAGATGCCGTGCCATTGCTACAAATATAAGAGCAGCCAATCCCAATTTAAATGGCTATGAGGGATTCAGCACAGGAACATTTCTTTTACAAGCCTTATAAATACAGAGTACAAGCTATACTACAGATATTAAGCAAACTTCCACATTGAATTGCCAAATGTTTTACACTACCACTTCAACTTTGAAAAAAAATTATTAATGAGAACAAGCTATTAATTGGTTCCAACATTAAGTAGAAAACAATCCTATCCAGTCTAAACATTTAATCCTGGGTCGATTAGCACTCTGGATTGAGCTGGTTTTGGGTCTTCTTACTGTCCCTACAATTTATACACAAACGCACCAGCATTCACTCTAACACAGGGGCACAGTTTCAAAGACTGGTACCCATTTTATTAATCTGTTTTAGCTGTGGCAAACAATGCAGGTGAGCAGCATCCTAATGCCAAAGGTTAGCAGTATCCAAAGAAGATGGTGTTTCTCTCATTGCTAACCAAAGTCACCTACTGAATCCCTTACTACTATACTAGGAAAGCTAAGTGCAGAGTTCTGCCATTTTCCTCTATCTAAAAAGAACTTTAAACTGGAAAGATGAAATGCATGAACTAAAACAGCATTACTCGTGTTCTTGTGTAGCATTTTTATGCTGTAATAGGAAGTGACTGCCGACACAGTACAGCAGACGGCAACTACCGTCCCCACAACAGACACCCTGTGAGGTAGGCGGGGCTCAGAGAGCTCTTTACAGAAACTGCTCTTTTTCATGGACAGCTCTTATCAGAACTATGGCTTGCCCAAGGTCACCCAGCCAGGTGCGAGTGGAGGAGAAGAAGAAGAGGAGATTGGATTTATAACCTGCCCTTCACTACCCAACGGAGTCTCAGAGCGGCTTACAAACTCCTTTCCCTTCCCCTCCCCACAACAGACAACCTGTGAGGTAGGTGGGGCTGAGAGAGCTCTGACATAAACGGCTCTTTTTCAAGGACAGCTCTTATCAGAGCTACGGCTAGCCCAAGGTCACCCAGCAGCTGCAAGTGGAGGAGTGGGGAATCAAACCCGGTTCTCCCAGATTAGAGTCCGCACACTCAACCACTACACCAAATTTTTGCAGATGTCTTTAATGCTACTTTCCAGTATAATTTCACAAATAAGTGAACAGATCACATATTAGGGCAAAGCTAAATGAGACTAACAGCCATCCCTTAGCTTTTTTTAAGGCAACCCTGGGGTGAACAGATCACATATTAGGGCAAAGCTAGACTAACGGCCATCCCTTAGCTTTTTTAAAGGCAACCCTGGACAGAGAAAGAGAATTTGACTGAGGTGAGGGTTTTTTAAATTTCTTTCCTTACATTTTTTTTCCCTGATGTAAATATCCCCCCCACCAAACCCCACTGGGAGATAGTAGCTAGGTGGGAATTAACCATTTATAATGAAAAAGTGGCAGGGAGAAAAGATTAAATACCCCATCTCCAAAACCATGAAGCTGATCTAATCACTCAACCCCAACAACTGGCAATCTTGAATCAAGTGCAGACAAAATAAATTGAGGCAACTAATTAAGCACTTATTAACCCTATAGTTTTCTTTTATTAAAAGCAAGAAGGAAGGTCCAGAACAAAAATTACCTATAATTGTAGCTGCTGTATTCAAAGTCAATAAGCATTAGTTTTTGTTTTTCAGAATCTTCTCTGCCTTCAAGCAGCAAGATATTTCCTGGAGGAAAGAAGAATAAATGAGGGCTTCCAATAGGAGTTAAAACGCTTTGCAGTCTACAATTATGAGAGCACTAAAATATTCTGAACTCTAGACAAGAAATTCTATTCATTCATTTAAACTGCACTCAGGGCTAAACATGCGCCCTGAGCCTGCTTGCGGGGAGGGCGGGGTATAAGTCTGATGATAAATAAATAAGTATTGCCCCCTGCGGAACCCACCCAATCAAGCCTGTTGATGTCTACATATACACCTTTGCACCGTCACAGCTCCAACTATGGATCCAATTGCTGGTTATACTTTATGATGCAATGTGTGGAACTAGATTCTTACCACCTATATATTCAAAGGCCCATCTTGTCAGCAGTATTGAATGGAACATGCTGCTTGACGTTATCATACTGCACAACTTAAAACAGCCTGCTGTATAAAGTTGGTGAGGCTACATGAGACATGATAATTTTGACACAGCTGTAGTTATCTTCCACCTGACACTATTATATACAGCACCGGATATTTCTTACACTATTAAACAGAGGGACTGGATAGTTGACCAATCTAAAATCACAGTCAACTGTATTGTACAATACTGTCAAATAGTCAGGTTTTTTAGTTTGGATTTATGCTACTCTATTGCAAATAGATTGGGTAATTTTTTATTTTGGTTTAGGTTTCATTATAGTTTTTCATCTGGGAAATATACATTCCAAACGATTTTCATTTGAAAATGTCTGCCTTTTGAATGTTCTGGATGGTCCTGGCTTTGCCCTAGTCTTTTGGTTTTCTAGAGGACCTCATCTTTTTTTGGTTAGTTTAAACCTTCCAGTGCCTTCAATTACAATTTTAAAAAATGAAATTAAAAATAAGGCAAGTAGCAGCTATTAAAAATCCAGTCAATTTTAAAAGGCACTTGTGGTAAGCAGGCTGCAGGTCAATTAGTCATATGAGAGATGCCTACAATTATAGCAAGTAGACAGTAAGAGTAACTTGGTATTATAATGGAATTTTAGAAGAAAGCTGCCATGTCTACAAATTGTCATTCTGGACTTCATAGAATATTTGACAATATTTGTCCAAAGTCAATAACAAGCAGTTAACTGACAGTATCTGACTGGTTGACTGACATGCCACTCCTATTTGAATAACGTGCCTAAATATATGGCACGGTTTACTGTGATAATTCCCGAGCCCTCACTCTTCTAATACTTTCTCCAGTAAACTTCATGTCTCCGTATAATCACCAGAGGCCAAATACTGCCTCAAGTACGAGCCAAATTTAAACATGTTTCTGACAAGCAAGAACTTGTTCAAGAGGGACACTGCACGCACCCCAGATTCTTATTTAAATCGGGCTGCTACACACACAATGCTGCTATGTGTACGATGGTAGCATGCCAGCACAGTACTTGGCCGGTCTATGGATTTCTGGCATGATGCAGACACTGTAAGTGAAATAGCTGAAGGCCCTATTTAAATTAGAGGCTGGGCCCACACAACGTTGTACAATTAAGTTTTTTCGTTTTGTGGCATCACATTTAAATGGGGTATGAGATGCTCTTTACTTTGACTAGTTCTTTTAAGACAGGCTACAATTGTTTTCTCGTAAGATATAGGAAAAGTGTATCAGTTGCAAAATAAAATGATGGTACCTTCTTGACAGTCATTATGGCAAAACACAACTGGTGATGGAGTACCTTCCAATAGGGACCTGGAAAAGGAAAGACCAGAGAAGATCAGAGTTCAGAACTGTTCTGTCACCATCTATTTATTTACACAAGAGTAGACCGTCAATAAGCTGCAGTACGTACGAACGGCAATGCAAAAAGGAGGCGTAACTGCTCCTTCTGAAGACAGGGACACCCCACCCCACCCCAAATGGACTGTCTCCATTGTGGAAGCTCAGAAGTTCCAATAAGAGTGACTGCCACAAAGTCTCAAGAAAGGTTTTTCCCTAGCAAGAATTGTTCGCTGTAGAACATCCCGCCCACACAGAAGGCAAGCTCTATGCCATCACTTGCTGGCTTCCACCACCCTGGAAACACTGGTAGTACATGTGCTGACTCTGATCAATTTAACCTGATCACCACTAACCCTTCTTCTGCCATGTCAATTGCAGCCTGAAGACACCTGTTGATATAATGGAGGCATTTGAGTCCTTCCAAATATACAGCAAATGTACAAGCTGTTCTGAATATCCCCATAGCTGTTCATGTATAGATTCCAGTATAAATATGATGTCAGAAGTCTCAAGTATTCTTACGGAAGAAAGAACATTTTGCTGTAACGTATTCAACCGTTTGCCCTGGTACAAAGCTGGGCTGAGACTTCCCACCCACCACAGCAAAGGAATCCAAGGGGTTTAATACACAATGGAATCCACACCCAAGCAGTTCTCTCAGCTAAAATGCAATTCTCACTTAAAATTCCACTTAAAGGTGCATGGTTTCTTCATTTAAATATTACCAATGAAAGTATTTATGGGCAATCACATATTAAAGCTATGAAGCCAGGTGATAATAAACTAGACTACTACCGCAGGTTTTTCATTTCTTGAGGCAGGTTGTAACTCAGGATCTTGTTCAGTTTTCTGACACGTGACTCCCTGGTAAACTTGATCCTCATCACTTGGTTTAAGTACCTGTGAAAAGTGATTTACAATTTAGTATTTGTAAACTAGAATGCCACCATCTTCTCTTTTAAATAAAACTATGGTTCAATAAATTAGTACCTTGTCACCCCCTGAGGTTAGCTTAAGGAAAAATCTTCCTACTATACACAGTAAAGGGGCCTGATTCCATGACATTCTCCCTATTGAGCTTAAATAAGAGCCATCCTACCGAAAAAAAATCTTGGCTATCATGCCAAACTAACGTTTTTATAAGATGACTAGGAGTAAGGCCCACTGTGGGAAGAAATACAACAAGCTCTAGAAAGAAGCTCCAGGCGAGTGGCCCAACGGTGGCTGGTGGAGCGGATGAGGGAAGGGGAAACGAGAGGGAGGCGAGCCATGTGTGTTTCCTTGTTTAGCTATAAGGCAGGGCTGTCTCAAGCAATGTTCCCTCTAAGCTGTGGAGTCTTGTGAGCAAAAATTCTGCTTTGTGAGTTACTGGCTTTAAAGTTGTGAGCCAGTGATTTGGCTACTGCATAAATCAGTTAGCTCTGGAGCCCTCCTTCCTGAGCCAAGGCAAACGTGTGTGAGCTGGAGGCTAAAAAATTGTGAGCTAGCGCACACTAACTCAGCTTAGAGGGAACACTGGTCTCAAGTCATTTTGCTGCCTCAAGTGGGTAGTATGGGAGGAGAGCCACATGGTAACAGGTATGGTTCCCTCCAACCCTATGTTGATTCGGGGTTATGCAGTGGCAGCTAAGGTAGAAAAGCACCTCCTCCTATGCCAGGTCTTCTGGGTTCCAAGGGTCTGGAAAGCGGCTCCATAGCCAGTTACAGGGCTGCCAGCTCTGGGTTGGGAAATAGCTGTAGATGTGAGGGATAGAGCCTGGGGAGGGCAGGGTGTGGGGCACAGAGGGGCCTCAGCAGGGTATAATTCCATAGAGTCCATTGCCCAATGCAGCCATTTTCTCCAGGAGAACTCATCTTGGAGATCTCCAGGTGCTGCCTGGAGGCTGGCAATACTTAGGGGAGGGCCAGACCTGTAGATTTGAGGGGTAGAGCCTGGGGAGGACAGGGTTTGGGGGTGTGGAGGGACCTCAGCAGGGTATAATGCCATAGAGTCCACTGTCCAAAGCAGCCGTTGTCTCCAGGAGAACTGATCTAATGTTGGAGGAGAGGGCCAATCAGGCCGCATATGCAAACGACCTCTGTGTTCCGACTGGGTGGGGGTGGGGGGAGATGATGTGCGGAATGGAGCGAGGCCCAATCAGCCCGCATACGCAAATGACCTTGAAAGGCTGGCCCAATCAGGTAGAAGGTGATTTGTCAGAAACATGGCTAGCCTTTTATATATATCTAGATAAATAATAAAATTAAAGTTACTTACTTCTCTATGGTTCCAAAGAGCCACTTGGGTTCTTTATTAAAAGGCATTTTCATACCATGAAATCTAGCCATTTTTTCAGCTATTTCTGCTGATATATCAGGCAAGCCTAGTTCCTCAGTGTCCAGCTTCCTGCTCTGGAACGTAACAGTACAAACGGAGGAAAGTTAAGTGTCTTGAAAATTCCAACCAGTGATTTATTTTTGCCAGAACCACCACTGTGGAATGACAAACTGCAAATATTAGCAAAATGGAGAGTGGGGCGTGTTCTCAACTTCTGCTATTCACTTCCGTACGTTCACACCTTAATGCTAATTTTTTCAGCTGCTCTAGAGAAAAAGGGTAGACCACAGTTTACTCTATTTACTTAGTTGACATAGGAGGTTAACATCAGGAAACCTGAGATGAAGGCTTATCCCCCTCCACTGCCACATCCAATTGTAGCACCAAATTAACAGAAACTATTCCTACAAGCTGCAGATACTTTACTCCCCATCTCTATTAGCAAAGCAGCGATGACCTGGTCATGATGAATTACAATATCTTCTACACTACTTAAATCATAGTGTTGACTAATTATAGCTGTCACTTACAGGAATAAATTCCTCCAATCGGCCTTGTGGAAAGATTCCATAGAGTTTTGGTCCAAGAGATCTCTCTGCAAGAATGGCAAACATAACACTCTCAAGAACAACAGCTTCTGCACCCTAAAGAAAGCAAAACACAGCAGTTGGCACACAAGCTCTAATATGAGACATAAAAAAACAAATTATAGTTTGGAATAAACATAATTTGCATTATATACAGCTATCAATTAATTTAATAGAAGATCCTATCTCTGGACCTAATAGGATATTGTAGAGTGTTCTCCTTTCCAAGCTTGCTCAGTCTAACCAAAGGTGCAATTTAAAGGAAGCTGAATCTGTTATTGTCCACTTGAAATCCATGGAGTCTCACCAGCAGTACCATTCTAAGAGCACTTTTCTGGGAGTAAGTCCCACTGAATAGACTCGAGTAGAATTTCTCTAGACTGTAACCTTACTTACAGTTCTAATCTTAGTTTTACTGTACAGGTTTTACAGCAATGAAACCACAAATTTAAGCATAAGTGCAAGAATTTTTTTTTGGGGGGGGAAGTAGGATAGTAAAAAAGGTTTAAGTTGAATGTAACACGGAAGTTCGTACAAAATGTACAGAACAACATAGGGAGGGGAAAACAAACCTGACCCAAAAACTGGAATCAAGAACCAAAAGGGTGAGAAGAAAGTCTAATGAAGGGCCAATATTAAAAACCTAGTTAAAACTTATACTATACAAAAATGAAAGTATTTATTAGAAAGACCGTTAAAAACCTACATAAGGGCCCAATGAAAGCCTTGTAAAAAACTGTAGCCTAAACACAAGGGCCAATACATATGACCTGATGCATTTCTGCCCTATTGGGGCCTTCTTCAGAGGTCAAACAATATTGAGGTACACATAACTTAAATACATATTGCAATAAGATAACCAGTAAGTGAATATTGGACCAGGAAGAGGAAGGTTAAGCAGCAAGATCTAGAGACACATGACAAAGATGTTTGTGAGGCCTTCAAAGGTGAAAGTCATGTGTCTGGTGCCAAATGCACAGTTGAATTAGAACATCTTCCAATTTAGGTCCAAAAAACACCTGTGTGGTTATCAAAGTCAGAGCTAGAGTGTCCTCAAGCAAATAGCTTGTACAACTGCATAAATACAGCAGATGGGCTATATCAAACAATACACAGATTAAAGCAAGGTCAGACAAACATGCAAAAGAGGGAAATTTACCAGGCTAGTTATGCATAAATCATTGTGTGAAGAGCTCTTGCAGTTCACAGAGATTAGTCATTAGGAGGAATCCACTACTAGCAAAAGTTGAGATATACAGAAACTAATACAATTAGTAATTAAGGTATTTTCAGCTAACAGGAAAAAGCTTCTCAATATACCTGGTCTAATTAGAAGGTAAGATTCTTACCAAGCTATTCAATCCTTCCATAGATAGGGGAAAATCTACTTCTGAGGAAATCTGTATCTCACTTTCTGCTAGCAGTGGCCTATTAATCACAATATTTATGAATTTACATTTCTTGAGCTTTAATTTATTCATAAATTTGTCATCGTACCTAACTTCTTAGAAAACGGGATACTCCTGTGCACACTGATACGTTAGTGAAATGGCATCACTCATAGATAAGGTAAAGGATTCTGCAGAGTTGGGAACTCCCCAGGTATGACAAAAGTTAGGTTGTACATAAGATATACCCCATCTATTAGAACTGGTGACGTTCTCTGCCCTTCAGGATCCACGGAATTAACAGAGGGCAGTTTCACCAGTCCCAAGAAAGATACCCCTGTCCCGAATTATACTGCTCCGGTACAAGGTTAGATAAGCACCTTTGTGCTCACTAGGCTTTAACTTGAGCACACGGTACAACTGCCCTAGACTATTGTGGTACAGGACTAGGGTGTGTACAGAGCTATTTATCTAATTCCAGAACTCAGTAGTGTCACACTACTGTGCTATGCTATTGCAGAGAGGGTAGTCAAGGGCTATCTTCCTCCCCCTCAACCCCCACAATGATTTTTCATGGTCCCAAACACGCAATATTAACTTATCGCTTGCTTGGGACCATCAAAATCTTTTGTCACGGAGATTAATTTGGAATTTTCTGTATAACTCAATTTTGAAAACTTGACACTAGAATACAGCCACTACAGATATAAAGTGGGTTGAAACTAACCACCTGGCAATACTGACTCTGAACACTACACAGATTTTCACAGTCCAAACAAACTGGGATTGTTTGCTGTGAGACAAGCCAGTTGTAATATCAGTTGCCAAACAACTGAGCTAGTTTCATTGAACATTAAGTATCCTTAGGTCATGTGAACATTAGAAGCATTGATAGGATGGTAAATTTTACCATTACTACATTTGCCTTAAAGGAGAAGTCCTTCTGATGCTGACACAGAACAGAACTAATTTTTAACAGTCTGATAGGCTTTAATACGCTGATTTCTATACATTTTGCAACTGTATTTTTTAGGGGAAGCAATTTTCACAACCACAATGAGAGGGGGCTTTTATGTTCAAAATATAAGCTACTGAAATTCCTTCTGAAACACATCCAGGATTAATGTTTCACACTTCCCTCCTTCCTTAGGAAAAGCTCATGGTTATCTATTTGACTACTTTTGCCATGGAACAGGAAGCTCTGGTATTCTCCATTATTTATCAACATGAAGTAGATGCTGAAATGAACAAAGAGGTTACTTACTGAGGTGTCTGAGTTCTTAATATTCACACTACTATACCTTATTATTCTGTTACATGCTATAATTTTACTGGAACAATGTTAAAGTATCATGATCTATCACCATGCAACATACTACCGAATATATTTATAATAAATGTTTATTTATAATAAACATGTAATGAAGTAACTTCTTGGCATGATTTTGACACCAGGACTACTTTTTTGGTTGGATTCCTTCCTCTTAATATTTCCACTGAACCTGTTCATGAATAATGCTACATATATCAAGCCCACACAGCAAACATTCAAGTTAATAATTCCTACGATGAGAGAAAGCATATTTGTGGGAGCCAAAAAGTTAAGAATACAGCCTGTATCTGCAGTAGCATCCTACTCAACCAAGGGCTAATAGCAGGAAGCAACTATGTTTGCAAGAAGTGCTGATATATTACTGACATGGACTTACTATGACAGCCCGATTTGTACATCTTTTATACTGTTTTAAAAGCTGAACAAGACCATGCTTCCATTCTGTTTAATAAGACGATAAAGCAGCCCCCCCCCAAACTTGCTTAACATAAGTGCCACACAGAATAAACGTCAGATGTTTGAGAGCCGCAAGACATGAACAAATATCACACACACATTTTTTTACTGGAAAATGTGCAAATTTGCTTTTTATTAACATTATAAATGAGACTGCCAAAAATAAAAACAAAACGGGTAAAAACAAATATTGATAATGATATTTGTCCAATGATATCTGTTTGCTAACGATATTTGTCTAAGAGTGAGAAAGAGAGAGGTGGAAAGAAAAAATGAAAGAGGTGGAAAGAAAGACAGAGAAACAAAGAAAGCAAATAGATGAGGGGAGGGAGGGGAAAGGAGATATAGATAGAGAAACAAACAAAGAAAGCAAATAGATGGAGGGGGAAGAAGAAAGGAAGAGAGGAAGACAGAAAGAGAGAGAGAGAGAGAAAGAAATGTGGAAAGAAAGTAAATAAATGGGGAGGGAGGGAGGGAGAGGTGGAAGAAAGCAACTTTAACTTGTGTTCTCCAACCCACACCCCACCATGCCCCATGCCAGCCAGTTTGGTGAAGGGATTTAGAGAGACAAATGTTGCCTACAAGCTGGTGGGTGGGGCTCTGGGGCGGAAGCTTGGAGACCAGCTTTAACATTAAATGTGTTTTCCAAGCCCCCCAGTGCAGCACAGGTTTCTCTTGGAGAAGGGATTTAAAGAGACAAATGCCTTCTCCGAGCCAAGCCAGCTGGCTGGTGTGGCAGAGCTTGGAGAACACATTTAACTTTATATGGAGAGGGAAGGGAAGGGGGGAAGGAAGGAAGGAAGGGAGGGAGGGAGAGGGAGAGAGAGAGGGAGAGAGAGAGAGGGAGAGAGAGAGAGAAAGAGAGAAAGCAACTTTAACTTTAAATGTGTCCTCTGAGGGCCCCCCCCCCCCCCCCCTGCCTGCCTTGGCGACAGGGTTTAAAGAGAATGCCTTCTCCAAGCCGGCCGGTGGTGGTGGTGGGGCCTTTGAGAACACATTTAGAGTTGCTTTCTTTCTCTGCTTCCCCGCACCTCAAGCCTACCCAGGGAGGGGAACAGAAGACGAATTCGGGAGGCATGCCTCCCCCTTTGCTTCCCCAGCCGCCCTGCCAGGAGCCGCACAATATGTGTGAAAGAGCCGCATGCGGCTCCCAAACAACAGTGTGGCCACCCCTGCACTAAAGCAAAGGAAAAGCTTCCAAAAATATCCCAAGGTTGTCAATTTATACAAATCATTTACTAAATCAGTCGTTTATAGCATTGTATTCAGGAAAGCATATCAAAATGAGCTTAAATAAGAGCAAGGAAATTGCTGAATTACTTTCATTATTCTACCAGTAACTGCCAACAGAAGTACCCCTGTTAGTTTGGGAACTAGTTGGTTAAAGTCACCACACAGCAAATACATTGTGCTTTTTATATCAGCCTGACACAGAAACTACTAAAAGGAAATATTTACCTGTAAGTCATTTTCCTTCTGAGCCTGTCCAGAGCCTCCTTTATTACAGGACCTCTATAAATGAGAAGTCAACATTTACAGTGAGATGCTGAACATCAACACAACGAACAACTTGCAGCCACCACAATCAGGGGAGTTAGGAAAGCCAACTGTACTGTACTTCCTTTGCCTTTACAGAAAATCCTATACACAAGCACAATTCCTTTTTCATTCCATAAAGAGACGTTACTTCAGATACTTCAAAAGGATGTGCCACTGAAATCCAATCAGGCTGCTATTAGCAACAGGCTAGACAAGACTACTAGCAACCGATGTGATCATCTGTGAATACAACCATTGGGAACCAAACATTTCTTCTACACAGAAGGATCCAGGTGAGAAAGTCCAAGTGTGGTTTTACTACAGTGGTGTAGCCACCTGGACAATATGCACAGTGGAAGGAATTACATGATCCACTGCAACATACAAAAAGACCAGCTGGAACAATCTTTTCTCTAGTTAGAAGGATAAAGGAGCAATAGCTTATCCTAGTAGAAACTTGTTACCTTACAGCAGAATGCTGTGACCATTGCATTTTAGATATGTTATGTCACTTCACAAAGCAATGTAAGAAAGCAAAGCCTTAATCAGTTCCAGACCTAGAAAACTGCAGCAAACTCAACACCCAAGAAAAAGCATTTTCCAAGGTTCCAAGCTGTGATTTAGCTTCTGGACTCAATGGCACATGCTTTTACTGTGACTGCACAATTTAAATTGCAGCAGGGATGGAAAACTTTGTAGTCCATTAGGGATTTCTGAGCTGGTATAGAATTCCGTATCAGAGCTACTTGGTTTTAACTAGATACCCCACAAGGCAGCCTTTGCTTTTAAAGTTATGAATATTAATGAAAACAGTGAAACCAAGTAAGCTCTTCTGCTCTAACATTCCCTTTACCAAGAACAAATTGAACGAGTTGCTACTGGTCATTTAGAGTATTGGCGAAGATACAGAATTTGTCAACAGCTTATTTGGTTCAAAATGAAATATCCCATTTTCCACCCAGTGAAGATAAGTTTCAGAGGGCAGCCGTGCTGGACTGCAAGTAGAAGAGCCGGATTCAAGTCCAGCAGCACCTTAGAGACGGACAAGATTTTCGGGGTATGGGCTTCCAAGAGTCAAGGCTCCCTTTCACTCTCAAAAGCTTACCCTGAAAATGTTGGTGGTCTTTAAGGTGCTACTGGATTTGAATCTAGCTCTTCCACCTAAATGCAGTAATTCTAAAATATTGTAATTAGCAAAGGTATGTAAATCATAATTAATTTCAGTGAAAATGTAATTTAACTTTATTCACAAAGGAAAGCAAACGGCATAAAAAAACTGCATTATTGGACTACTGTTGTGTCACTAGTACTATTCTAATTCACTGGCTTCACCTGGTCCAGCAGTCAAAATTGCTTATCACCCAAAAGTATTTCCTGCTTAATGCTCCCTTATGATGGTATAATCCTCCATAAGAAACAAAGCGGATTAAGAGAGGGTTTTTCTAGGACCTCAAGAAGTATCCCCTTTTAACCTACTTGGATCACATGTACTAAAAGGATTCTTATGCTGCTATACTTCAAATAGATGCCTGGGAAATATAACTGCACAGCTGGATTGAGGTCTGAGGAGAAAGAATGGGAATGTGAAATTTGAGCGCTATCATGGAAGAACAAATCTAAAGGGCGACTTTGGTTAATTTAGGCACTGCATAATCTAAAGGGAGACAAGAACTTCAGATAAAAGGGGGTTAACTTCCAAGTAATTTTGTTTAGAATCAAAGCATCTGAAAGAGCTCTTTCTTTTATTGGAGTTGACTCTGTGCTGAAACAAAGTAAAGCAGAGGATTCTGTATAATCACACAATGTATGAAGACTGCACTATATCTGCTAATAAAAGCTTGAAGATGACTTGGAAACATTAAAGCTAATATAGTTTTACAGATTTCCTTTAAGTGTTTTTAAAGCAAAAATATTGAAACAGTTCTGATAAATAGTAGCTTAGTGCCTTTCTTGAAACAGAACTCTCTGTAACTGCGTAGAAACAATGCCCAACATCCAGGGAGATTATGGAACAGTTGTTGTATACTTCCTACTAAAGCTAGGGGAGAATAGGTGTTACAGGAAAAAGCTATTTTAGTGGTTGGACAGCCTAGAATAGAGGCTACCGATAAGCAGGCATCTATAAACCATGCTACCATCTTTGTGAACACATGTCAGATTCCTTTCTGCGTATTAGCTGGAGCTGCTTTATCTGCAGAAAGCTGACCTGTAAATATAGGGAGCTGCCATCACATGTCTCAGTTCTCACAAAAGAAGCAAAGCTATAAGCGCTGGTAAACCAAGGGGTAAGGGAGCTATATCTAGGGTGTTATTTTATGGTGATAACTGGAGAAACTACTGTCATGCAGAAAATTTTAATCTTATTTTTACTGTTATTGGCAATTTTTTTAGTAGTGTCTGATTTGCCTATTGGAAAAGAAGTACAGGAGTAACTCAGCAACCAAAATGAATACAGGTCCATGCTGGGATGTATATTTTGTTTCAGACTAAAGAAACAATGTTTGGGGGAAAAAAGTAAATTTATGTTGAATAAAGGACTGGAATATAAATGGTTTGTTTGCCATTCAGTCATGTTTGACTCTTGGCGATTCTATGGGTCAGTTCGCTCTACGTTTTCCGATATCTTGTCCTGTTTCTTTGAGTCGTTCCATGCTCAAGCTGGTGTTGACTTTTATGGTGTCTAGCCACCGTGTTCTTTGGCAGCCAGGTTTCCTTTTGCTGCTAACCGATCCAAGCATAATTGCTTTTTCTAGTGAGTTCTTCCGCATGACATGGCCGAAATAAGTCAGTCGCGGTTTTGTGATTTATAAATGGTTTAACCACTTACAAATAATGCATGAATCAGATTGACAGAACTAATTTGGGGAGCTCATGAAGATAGCTACTTTTGTCTTCAACATATAAATTTACAGCATATAAATCTTAAATACTATATTTATCAGCAAATACAAGTCTATAAATAGGAGTGCAGACTGTAAATCTAGGGCTTCAATATTACAACAGTACTTATACTGATGTGTTAAGCATAGAACAAACAGATCTAGATGCAATTTTATCATCTTGGAAAAGCAGATTGTAAACTTGACAGCTGCTATCTTGTAGAGTTTCCAAAGCACCTCTACAAGATCAACAGACTCATTTCTAACCCTTATGACAAGATGAGCGCTTAAAATTGGCAATTTGCTACCCAAATCAGTGTTTTATTAAAATTCAGATACAGAAGCTGCAATGTTGCAACTTGCCTGAATAGACATGCTTCTCAGGACTGAAAAACAGAATGTATAGGGTCAAATATTTTCATCGATTTAACTAGAGACTGAATTCTGAATCTGAACAAAGCTACACTAGAAAGGGGACAACATAAGAAGCATTATTACTACAGGTCCTACAAAAACCAAGAACATCCTTTTTTCTTCTGATCAAGTTACCATTCTCTAAGGGAGCAGAAGGAAGGAGATATCCTTAATATACTATTTCAGCATTCATGGGTACAATTTAACTGCTCAGGCATTAAAAATGTTTTCAAGGTAAGTATTTTCATCATAACTTGACACCCTGAGTCATAAAGAAATGAAACTCGCAGAGAATGCTCCAACTTCAGAGATCTCATACTATACCGTGAATCGTGTCTGTCACCTGGAAACCAGAGTGCTCTAGGCACGATCGCATGGACAAGCCTGCAGCAGAGAACACATGCACATACGACTAAAATGGTACATTACCCCCAGAAGACCTTTAACGCCACCCAACAAAACATGTGCCCCTTAACAGGAGTTCAGCTACCAATATATCTGCCAGTATCAGGCATTTGCACTACTTCCTTGCTATAAAACATTGAGAGCAAGAATCACATGAGTAATAGAGTATTACAATTACAGCATTCTACACTTGCAAACCAGGTATGAAATACCACAGAATTGCAGTCAATGCTCCTAACTTTATTCTCTGATGAAATGATAATCAGAAACTAAAGGAACATTCAGTAGTCATTGTTTCCCTAACATATACAATATTTTGATTTGGCTATTAATAACAGCAAACCAAATGTTTAGACTTAAGATATGCAAAGATATACCAAGTCTCTCTTTACTTGGGGAACATGGAACCTATACAACAATTAAACATTAGTATGAACATAGCAATCTTACAAACATTAGCTTTTTTTTGTAATTGTACAATATTTAAAAAGTTCCATTTTATTTCAACCCAAATGTAAATACTTTTCTTGATAATTACTACCAGTATTTATAAAGAAACGAACATGAATTTCTTCACTGAATGAAAATAACACCTCAACCTAAATACTCAGTCCAACAGAAATTCAAGTGGTTTACTACACACAACAGGATTGAACTGCTGCTATGAAGACATGTCCTTTTAAGTTTTAGGAATCAAGGAACAGAAGTTTGAATGTGATGTGTGTATTCAAGCACACATTTAACTAAAACTTCAGCACAAACGAAAAAGTGGGTCAGCTATATGGTCTTCAAGCACACATTTAACTAAAACTTCAGCTCTTCACAAACGAAAAAGTAGGTCAGCTGTATGGTTTGAGATTCTCAGTTTGCATCAGTCTCTGCCAGGGCGACAATTTATACATATCAGCCCAACTCAGCTAACTTCTGCCCCCCATTTAATACATGTATAAAACAGTGGCTTAAAATAAAAGCTAATAAGACTGAGGATGGAGGGACCCATGCCCTTTCTACATGGTAACTTCAGTCAACTTTAACCATTTGTACTGAACAGCAGGTACTGACATTTGTGTCTTCCAGAATTTGATGCTGAAGTAGGTTTAAAAATAAAAAAAACTGAAGTAATTTTTAATATGAAAGTAATCATTTTGAAGCTGGAAGCTTCCCATTGACTTTTGAATGTTTATCAAAGGGCAAAAAGGTGAAACTTTTGGTCCTGTGCATCTGAATTTGACAATGGAAAGAGTAGTGCTTTCTGTATGCATTTATAAAAAGAAAAATCAAGTTCTACTTGAAAAGCCTTCTGTTTAGATCACAAAATACAGCCTGTTGTATCTTTAATCCATACAAACAGCAATTGTGAAATCAGTAATAAGATAAAAAGTTACTGCCCACTTAATTTGTGCCCATAATTTAAACCAGCATTTCAGGAACTTTTTCAAAATATGAATACCTCTAGGGGAAAAAAAATCTTTATATCCAAAATTAAATAGGTCTGCAACCAGGAAGATCCTTGAAGTCTCCGATAAAAAAATCTCCATCTACAGAAAAATCAGTTTGCTTATGCATTGAAGATTGGTCTAGAAGAGACAAATGTTTATATTGAGACCCTCCATATAATCTGAAAGTTTTACCTTGGAACTGTCTCTGCTTACTTAACCCTTAGTGAACTGCACCAACAAGAGCAGTCATTTCACTGCCACTATGGAAATAAAGGAAGTTAGATATCTCAAAAGATCTTAAAAACCAAAAGAAAACAAGGTTATGATGTTAACACTCAAATGATTGGTCAAATCACACCTTGAAAAAAATTCAGGGCTCGCTTGCCATTCTTCCCCCCAGGAAACTACACAAGAGGTAGCATGGTAAAAATATGAACACTGAGGGGAAACACCATGCATCCACATTCTGATTCATGATTCCATGTTATAATTATAGCAAAGTTTTTCAGAGTATAACAAAATGTGTTGCATATCTTTATGAGCTAAAACTAAGCTCCTGAAAACACTGTACCCTTTTTTGCAAGTGGAAAAATTAGCAAATTAGTATATTACTTTTTAAAGATGGCCTTCATTCTTAAAATGTAGCCTTCCGTTTATAAAACAACTAATCTGTCATTGGAAGATTTAATAAAACTAAATGAAGTTACACTGGTGTGGCTTATCCTCAATGTTACTGCTGCTCTGCAGATTTCAGACCAGTTTTACTCCTGTACGTTGCCAAGATAGGCAAGGAAAATCTAAGTCTCAGCCATAGATTTCTAAGTGAACGTATTTTATGTTCTGCAACACAGAACCCAACAGTCATGCATTTGATACATTCATTTGTGATCCAGTAATATCCTCATGACGTTCCCCAACAATCATGTAAAAAATGAAAGTACAGTAATAGCAAACTTGAGTACAGGCAGCCAAAGTTCCCTTGGAGGATTCAAGTATTTACAGAGAAGGAGATCAATGCGGGAGGAATCTCTACCCTACTTCTATAAGCATTTAGATGTTCAATTTCCCTACTGGGGATTTTCTATATAGAGGTTGATCTCATTCCCTTGCATGAGAGTAGTATAGAGAAATTAGCCCTTCTGAGAAGCCTGTACCTTAGGGAAGAAAGGGAGTACTATGTCTCCAGCAAGATTATAACCACTATGGTTACTGCCATTATTAACTTTTAATGCACGGCACAGTTGATAGTCTACTGGGGATCCTAGGTAAACACATGCTACTGAAAATATATAGCACAGGAACAAAGGCAACACAGTTGGAAATCCAGGACTGTCAGTATTTACACAGACAGCAAACAATTTTAGTACAAGCCACTCGGCATCCAATTTCCCCCCCACAAATTCTGTAATGACTAGGACTGAAGACCATGTTGTGTGCACTAAAGAGGAATAGAACAGTTCTATACGCACTTAATCAGAAGCAAGCTGCACAAAGCCAAATGAGACTTGCTCCAGCATATGCAGAGGGATGCATTTTGCTAAAACCTCTGCTAGGTTACTTTATCAGCTGTAAAGATACACGTGTCTTGGAAGAATGGTTTTAGAAAAAGACTGGTACACTATGGTTTTCTCAAAGTTAGTGATACTCACTACTCACAGATAATTTACTACCAATGCTGATTTCTCCCCCCCCCTTAACTGTACAAAATTTAGAAAGGAGAAAACTTTTGATTATTAAAGCTCCAGATGATACCCACATGCATTACTGATGAAGATGAAAAAGCAAGTCACATCATAGCTGAAAACTCCAACTGAAGTTTTTGGTTTAGAAAGCCTTGCAAATTCTAAGCACTTAGACAATGAACAAACCTAGATGGAATCTAGATAGCTATCCCAACAGACACTTCTCAACAATAAGATCATATTTCCTGCAAAATCTACTTTCAGTATTTTCAAGACTATAATCATGAAAAGTGTCTAAAGTCCCGCCCACTCCCCCCAAATACTCACCATCTGCAGAATTGCACCATATAAACGAAGAAGAATTGTGCGTGGTTCATCACCAACAGTTTCTATGGCATCTGGTAATGAGCACTGGAATAACATGTTGCTGAGGCCTCCTCTGTCAAAAGAAACAAGAGATGATCAATTCTAATGATCATATGGTAGGTTACTCCACACAGAAGCATATGGCGATTCATACTTCACGGCCATGAATAACTATCTTTGAGCAAATGTGCTATTCAGCACAGACCCCGCTTCTAACAGTGGATTTTAATCAATATTTTTTAACATTTTTCAAAAGTATTTTGTAAGCTGCTTTTTTTTCCCCTTTGAAATGTTCCTTTAAAAAAGCACCAGAAATTCTGCTCCTAGGACTTAAAATGGAAGAATTGAATATTACAAAAAGAACTTTATTTTGTTACCTGATTACAACGGCGAGAATACTCTATGCACAATGTTGGAAACAAGAAAGAATTCCAGAGTTAGAAGAATGGATACAAAAAACTTTGTTTATGGCTGAGATGGACAAAATTACGAAAAAATTGAATAACAAAGAAGATCAGGAATTCTATGAGGAATGGAGAGACTTTAAAATTTACCTAGAAAAGAACTGGGATGTAAAGCACAATCTATTATATTTAGAACAATATTGAAACTAGAATATGATGTTATCTTAAGGTGTACTGGAGTGACGAGGGGGGAAGCATTGCGGGAAGCCACGGGGAGGGGGAGAGTAAAGTGGGGATATTGGGGGTAAAAATTGAAACATTAATGGAACTGATGACATGTCAATATTTTCATGAAAAATAAAATTGTGTTCAAAAAAAAAAAAAGTATTTTGTAAGCTGCCTCAGGCAAGTTCCTGGACAGGCAACCTAATTTTTTTTTCTGAATAAATTTCCAACAACACATGAAGCTGCCTTATATTGAATTAGACCACTGGTCCACCAAGGTCACTATTGTCTGCTCCGACCAGCAACAGTTCTCCAGGGTCTCAGGCAGAGATCTTTTATATCACCTATTACCTGATTATTAATTTTTACTGGAGATGCTAGGAATTGAACCTACTACCTTCTGCATCCAAAGCAAAATACTGTGAGCTCTGTCCTATAGGATACTTTATGAACACACAGTTTGTACTTAGTTGTAACAATTCAATATATAAAAATGCATTTTAGAATTAAAATTAATTTGTAAAACAAAATTTATAACAAAATATAAGGCTATACAGAAACCTGACTTTCTGTCAGGACCCACAGCTAAGCAACGAAGTACACGCTTCCAGGAAGGTTTTACTTTTATTGAGAAGCCATAGATGCGATAACAAGAACACTATTAGGAATGGCGGGATACCCGTGCACATAATAGGATATAGGGCATTCGTATGCCCCCCCCCCAAGCAATCACCAATTAGGTGTGCTCCCACGCGCGGGAGACTGCTGGA